GGCATAGACCCACAATGTAATGGAATGGGTTAGCGCTCTAGTTCCAGCTCTAGGGAGACATGAGTTCAAATCTCACCTCAACCACATGCTGCCTGTGGACTTAAACCAGCCACTTTCATTCTCTAAACCTCAATGGAGATAAAAATAATAGCGTCTTCCTCAAAATGTTGCTGGATTACAGGAGAGAGTTCTCAGAAAGGTTTTGCATAAGGCGTATTGCAGAATATCCATTCAAAAACGTCAACCCTTATTTCTATTTTGATCTGTACACATTCTCTGGTCTTAGTAAAGCTGTCCATCAAATGATATAGAAGAAGAACAAAGACCAGAGCCCTCCTGGCTTTTTGAGAGACTCCCTCCAGGTCAGCGCTTTCCACGCTGCAGGTTTGTGAATCTAGAAATCACTTTAGCAGGTCATAAGCCAGATGTTTTTAAATTAGAATAGAATGTTTTTAAAAATGAATAGAATAGGGGTTAGCCCAGTGGCGCAGCAGTTAAGTTCGCACATTCTGCTTCTCGGCGGCCCGGGGTTCGTTGGTTCGGATCCCGGCTGCGGACATGGTACCGTTTGGCAAAAGCCACGCTGTGGTAGGCGTCCCATATATAAAGTAGAGGAAGATGGGCACGGACGTTAGCTCAGGGCCAGGCTTCCTCAGCAAAAAGGGGAGGATTGGCAGCAGTTAGCTCAGGGCTAATCTTCCTCAAAAAAAAAAAAAAAAGATTAAAAAAAATAAAATGAATAGAATAGAATGTATCAAAGTGCATTTCATGTTGTAAGGACTAAATGGCATTTTGTCAAACACATATGTATGATTGTGCGTGTGCAAACTGGCGTGCAACGTAAAATGCATCTCTTACTGTGTGTCACAGTAAAAAAGCGGTTTGAAAGCCACTGCTCTAGGCTGACCCAGAGCTATTAAATACGTTCTTTGGTCATGATATACTATTTAAGAGAGACATTACTGCCCCCTACTGGATCTCTGGATTTCTCACAGGGAGGGATGGAGGTAGGTTAGCAAAGGCCTTGCTTCTCACTGCCCATGTGACCTCAGCCATCCTCCTCGTACACTGTCTGGAAGGTCACCCAGAGGCAACTCACCCCTTGAACTATCCTGATGCCCTAGGCACTGAGTTAAAGGTGGCGCCAAAAGTGGGAGCCAGAGTTCTCACCATTGAAATAATGGTGTGCTTCCCTCCCACCACCTCCCACAGTGTCTCCTGGGAAAGTAAAACAAAGTGGCCCCATGACTGAGTCTCAGCCACACGTTACCGTTGGTCCCACCTCCACCCCATTACACATCACAGCTGGGCAGAGCCTTCCAGTCCCTAAGCAGCCACCTGTCCCTGCTTCTCTGGGGAGACTACGCCTCTCAAAGGAATGCCAACCAACTGCCGTTCTCAGAGCCAGGACTGCCAGCTGCGCCCATCCTCTAATCTCCCGGGTTCTGAAATAACTGAGTAGGGTTGGGCGAGCAGAGAGGTACACTCCGGGAAAGATGTGCTGTCCCACCCAAGAGGTAGGCCCGCCCCCAAGAGGTCTCACCAAGAGGTAAAGGCAGGGAGAAAGCAACACCGCTAACACACATCCATCTTAAGAGGTGGGGCCCAGAACCAGGTGCCAATTGCTTACTAAGAATCTAAATCCTGCTTCAGTCCTCGAACCCTGCACCAGCTGAGCGCTCAAATCAAGTCACCCACACATGTGGCCTCAAGCAAAGGAAAAAGTGAGGCTGAAGAGGGCTTCAGACCCATGTCCCTAATGCAGGACCAGCATTCCCAGCCATGCTCCGGGTTTCACTGCCCATCTGAACTTCGAGGCTTATATCAAGAAAGAAACCAAATGTGAGTGAATTGCAAAGTGGCAGATAAAACCTAGTATGAAAGAGTTTAACTTAACTTTAAAATAATAAACTGATGGGTGAGGTCATAGTAAGCATTTTTTAGAACATAAACCATTTGATTAACTCCCTTTAAAAATAGCCTCCTTTGTTTTGAGTCTGAAATAGGCTTCTTTCTTCTTTGTGCAAAGGCCTGTCCCCATAGATAGATGTGCTTTGGCCACTTCCTCATCTGAAATAAAGATGGTAAACAAGTCTTTATCAGATAATCTAGTGTTTACACTATGTGCCGGGCACTGTGTGTGCTTGGTACTTTTACGTGTTCTGTCAGATATAATTCCGACAGCAATGGACTCAGAGAAGTTAATGAATTTGTTGAAGGTCACACAGCCAGTAGGAGACAGATTCTAACCCACGTATGCCTGATTCCCTTACCCCAACTCAGGACTATTGCCTGGGGAAGTGCAGGGCCCAGCCCCTTGAATTTCTCCTTCCTCCCTTCCTGTTGTTCACACATCTCAGTAGGAGAATTATCAAAAGGGAGGGAAGTCAGGGCTGTGGCTGTGGTTAAAAGTTCCACGTGCTCTGCTTCTGCAGCCCAAGTTCGTAGGTTCGGATCCCAGGCGTGGACCTATTCCACTCACCAGCCATACTGTGGAGGCATCCCGTACACAAAGTGGAGGAGGATTGGCAATGAATGTTAGCTCAGGGCTAATCTTCCTCAAGCAAAAAGAAAAAAGAGAGAGAGAAAGATTGGCAATAAATGTTAGCTCAGGGTGAATCTTCCTTATGAAAAAAAAAGAAAAAAAAAGGGAAGGAGGTCAAAATGGTCAAAGTCATAAAAAAACAAGGAAAGACTGAGAAACTGTCACAGACCAGAGATTACTAGCGAAATGTGACAACTACATGTGATGTGGTACCCTGGCGGGATCCTGGATCACTAAAAGGACTTCGGTGGGGAAACGTGAAAGCCAAGTAAAGACTGCAGTGTGTCGTTGTGGTACCCAGGTCCTAAAGGTCTCCCACCTTCCCTCCTGCTGCCCTGTGATCTATTCTCATGCTGCTTCCAGAAGCATCCTTCCAAAGCACAAATCTGACGTTGTCTCTCTCTCCTTCTTATAAATTTCCATGGCTCCCCCTCGCCCTCAGGGTGAAGACCGAAGCCCTCAAGGTCTGTCTCCAGCTCCCCTCTCCAGTCTCTTCTCTGCCCTCCTCTCCCTACCCCCTTGATTCTGCTCCAGCTTTGCTGAACTCGTTGCTGTTCTCAGAAGACACCAGGCCCTCTCTACTCTGCATCTTTGCTTGACACATGCCCTGTCTGTCAATTCCACACCCCTTGGCCTGCAGTTAGAATTAAGTAAATTCCTCTCTCACTTAGACGTCACTTCCTCCAGGAAGCCCTCCCTGAAGCCCTTGCTCCCATGCCTGGGTTAAGTCCCCTCTTCTGAGTCCCCATAGCACCCTGTAATTAGCTCCCATCACAGTGCTTCTCATCCTGAACCATGATCATATTATAGCGTTTGCCCTCTCCCTCTCATACAACTGAAGCCCTACTTCCCTGAAATGGGACTTGCACACCGAGACATGGCATTAAATAGCACTGACTCTCATTGTGGGGAGGTGAGTCCTCTGCGTGCCTTTCTCCGTTTCTCTGATTGCTCAAGAAAAAAGGTGTTAGTCTGTCTTCAACACTCCCTGCCGCTTGTTAACCTCTCTCTTTTCAAATAACGACCGATGAAGCCTAGGCTAGGCACCTGAAGTAGGCAACGGAATCTATCCTGAATTTAGCACATCATTTTGTTTTCATTGTGTTTGCTTTTGTTGATGAAATCCTATTTATGGAAAGCAATACAAGTTTCTCTTCTACATAGATTAGTCATCCTTTATAAAATTAATTTATATGAGTAAAGGAAGTAAATCAATTTAGAAAAGTTTGGTAAGTGGCTGTTCAGGTGGTGCAAGTGGTGAAAAATGCATGTATATCCACATGCGTGTGTATGACATGCACACAACAGTGAAGGTCACCCTGAACGAGAGAAACCCTGTCATTAGTGCAGCTAAGTCATGAGACCCAGGGCACTGCTGTCTTTGCCACTAACTACCCATGTGACTGGGAGAAAATTACTCTTCTCTTTCTCAGTTTACTCACCTGTAAAAAGAGGAAAATAAAATTGGACCGTAAAAATATATGATTTCATCTCTCAGATACGAATTTCTCTTCCAGCCCATACAGTATGGAAATCACACTGCTGGAAAAGAACCCAGAAGCGATCACACTTTTATATTAGAGATCAGAGATCTGAGGGTTAGAGGTTAAGTGACTTGCAGAAGATCACATTGCAATTTAATATCAAATTCAAGATCAAAATCCAGGTTTCCCGACCCCCTGGTGATCCGTTCCCCCCACTGCATTCTGAAACCCTCCACTCCTATATTCTCCCTTCCCCAGATAAACTTCTGTCCAAAAGTCACATTTTACTTACAAAGCACAAGCAAACACACATGCACATATGCACACAGAGACGCGATATAAAGACACCTTACAATAACAGAAAAGCAAATAAGAAAAAGATAAAGGCGATATTGGATTTCAGAGCATTCACAATATTGGAGAGGGAAGTAAGCACCTAAAAGCTGAGGAAACATGTCCCAGGGTTTTCCACGATGTTGTAATTCCCTCCCTGTTCTTTATTTAGATCAGATTCTAGGCGCCAGGAGGTCACGCAAGCTGGGGGCAGGATTACGGTAAAGAGGGTAACTAATTCACCTTGACTACTCTATATGTATAATAAAACCTGCTGACATAGAGACCAGATCCAATTGCCACTTCACTCTCTGTGGCTCATGAAAAAATAGCACCAACACGATCCAAAGGGAATAGTTAACCACATTCTTAAAATGGGATTTTTAAGCACTTTTAAAGACTATTTTAGCAGAGCAATTTGCATAAAGACTGTAGTGATTGCAATGACAGAGCACAATGTTTTTCTCATTAAAAAAAAAACAGTCCTACCCTTATCTTTGGAAATGTGCTGAACATTTTCATAACTGAGCCGGTTTAGAGGCAAATTTACCAGATTTATAAGTGAACCAAAATGTACAGAATCAGAAAATTTTAACCAAAATTCCCAATGAAATGTAAAATGAGTAGATATAAAGCCCTTCACTTAAATATACATATTTATTTAAATATTTATTTATTTATATGTATCTTTGTAGCAATTGAGAAAGACCTGGCCAACCAGAAGCTCATGTGAGAAGATATTTCATGTTCATAAGCTCAATGTGAGCCAATGGCAAGATGTGGCTGCTAGGGAGAAGAAAAATCTTAATGCAACATTAAAATACACATTAAGTTACATTTAGTACAGTAACATCCCTCTGTATCTCCACCCACCAGCCAATACCAAAAGCTTGCTGCAGTTATGGGAATCACACCATCAGAGGGACAGAAACTGGCATCTGGCCAGAGGAGAGCAATAGGTCAGCGGGAAAAGGGAGAGGGTCTGGAACGCCAGTCAACTGGGGAATGGGTCACGGCTTGGGTTCCAGGGCAGAGCAAGCCATCTTCAAACACAAGATGCGTAACCGTTCTGGAACGCATGTGCCCTTGTCCATCTCCCGGGAATGTTGTTGAAGGGACTCTGCGTGGGAGGTCAGGCTCATCCACAACATCGCTCCACCCTCGGGAATTTTATGGTTTGTGGTAGGAGCAAAACCACATCTATTTGGCATAGTGGTGGATTAGGTCACTTCCTTTCCTTCCTAGAGAAGACCACTCTCTAGAGTAGAGAGCGTTTTGACAACCAACCAAGCTCTTGAGAGAAAACAAAATGTACTGATGTCTAGACAAGCTCGGTGACTAGAAGATGCAATGTTGACTCAATTACCACTCCCTTCCCACTTCACCACACCACCAACTGTTCAGTGGCCCAAGAAGCTAGAAATTAAAATCTGAGCTGCGGGGCATGAGGTGGCGAGCCCTGTGGCTAGATCTTCTGGGATGTTCCCACATTTCAGAGCAAGGGTGAACACCTGCATCAGGATCACTTAGATGCTCGTTAAAAATCCACATTCATGGGACATCTCCCAGACCTACTGAGTCAGAATTATTGGGGTAGGAACCAGAAAGTTCATTTTCAGCAAGCTTCCTAGAGGGGTCTTTCGCATCCTCTCTGAGAACCGTGGTTCCAGAACAGCTCCTCTCGTGCTTTCCTGTGCATTATAGCCACCTGGAGAGCGGGTTAAAGCTGGGACTCGTAGGCTCCGGAGACTCTGATTCAGAGGTCTTAGGTGGGCACCAGAATTTGCCTTTCAAACAACCTCACAGGTGATGCTGATGCTGCTGGCCCAGTCAGTGGACCATGCTGTGAGTTCACTGCCTTAGAAAATCCTGGATTCCATTATCCAAGAACTCAGATAGATACGGTGGTAGGCAGCTGCTGAAACGGTCCCCAACGATTCCCCACCTCCTTGTGTGGGCTGGACCTAGCGACTCACTTATAACAAACTGAATAGGCAAAACTAATAGGATGTCCCTTCCGTTAGGTGAGATGAGAAGACAGTGACCTCCTTCTCTCGCTCACTCTTCTTCTTCTCACTTGCTCGCTCCGATGAAGCAGGCCACCATGTTGTGAGCTGCCGGATGGAGAAGCCCACATGGCGAGGACCTGTGGGCAGTCTCTGGCCCAGAGCAGGGAAGTGACTCCCACCAACAACAATGTGGGTGAGTTTGGAAGCAGGTCCTCCCCAAGCTGAGCTTGAGGAGACCACAGCCATAGCTGACACCTTGATCATAGCCTTTCAGCCAGAGGACCCAGCTAAGTCCCACCTGGATTCTTGCCTTCCTACAGAAACTGTGTGATAATAAATGTTTCAAACCACTACGTGTATTCTGGAATGATAGATAACTAATAGAAATGCTTTGTCAGGGAGCTACTCTGAAATCAATATGACATCTTGGTAATATTTAACCCATCCTTCAAGTCTCCCATCTCATCTCTCCCTATTCTAAAGGGGACAAATGAGTGTATAAATGTAAATGGGTAATATTTAATAATACACACTATGCACATGTAATTTACCCCATAATTTTCTTAGTGCCCAATTGTTATGCCTTGGCCCTTGGGAAGCTTCCCTGGGGTTTCTGGAAGGTTATGGGGGGACAGAGCCTCGCAGCAGGATGGAGACAGTGAATCCCAAATCCATGTCAGACCTCACAGCCTGGGCGCTCCAGCTGGCTATTCTGAGGCTGTGTCTTTTGAGCTAAGAGCATGGTGAATTCCTGCCTGCCAGTCCTCATGATGTAGAGGAGTGGCACCTCCTTTGGTCCTGGCTGAAGAGAGAGAAGAAAGAAACTACCAATTTCTCTGCTGGTGGGGGGAGGGGTCTTTCCCTGAGCAAAGTCAGTGAAGGGAGCAAAGTGCAGTCCCCTTGCCTTCTCTCCAGTGCCTGCCTGATTTCCTCACTGGGGGAAGGAGACAGGTCTTCCAGGGGCAAGGTTTCTCATTTTCTCTAGAATTGCCTGTTGAGAAAGTGCATTTCAGAGTCTGCATGTGTGGAAAGGCCACAGGAAAGGCTTTAGACACAAAGCCAGGACTTCTCATCCCTGCTCCATCGTGCACTCCTTGTGTGGCCTGGAATGAGTCCCTCTCCCTCTGGATTGCGCTCTTCCCACTGCAAGATGAGAGGGCTGGGCCAGTGATGTTGCAGACCTTCCAGAACAGTGTCTAGGAGTCTAGGGTGAGGAGGCAGCTTCTGGTCACAGCATGGTCAGAGATAGGACAGCTCTCTTCAGAGGGCCAGCCCCCCGCCACTCAGCCACCGTGCCCGCTCTGAGGAGCGCCCAGAGGGGCTGCTGTGCCACAGGGGGCTCTGGCAGATGTTGTCCAGCCTGCTTCTAATGGTGTCCTGCAGCTTCTCATCACCCAACAGGACCGCTGCTGCCAGGGCCAGCCAGAAGTAATCAGTGGCATCGTGGGCATCCTAACCCCAAGGCATGGGAGCAAAGAAGAGACAGCATTAGCACACATTTCCAGGAGAAGCTGGGAGGCAGTGCTGGGAACTCTGAGAACTGTAGCTTTCCCACCCCCACCTCCTAGTTCCCTGGGGGAGCTGTTCCCCACTCCACTGTAGTCCCATGACATGGCTAACCCCAGTGGCCATCCTCCCGAGGCACAGGGGTGGCACCTTACCCAGGCTCAGACAATTGTGAAGCAGCATCACCCTGGGCATAGTGCTGCAGGGATGGATAAGCGACTCAAGCTGACCTATCCCAGTCACTCCCCAGAACCTACCAGTGTGACATAGTAGAGAAAACGGTCCCTTACCCTTTTAGATGTGGGTTTGAGCCTGCCAATAGCTGGAGGGGAAGGAGGCCAAGAAACAGAGAGAAGTGGAAACATACAGAGACAAGAGATATAAAGAAAGGTGGGGGAATCCATGACAACATTTGAGTACCAGCATTTAGAACAACCCATGACGACATTTGAATACCAGCGTTCAGAGCTACCTGAAACTCAAGTTACACTTGAGCTTTCCAGTTACTTGAGCCAATATATTGTCTTCTTTGCTTAAGCTAATTTGAGCTGAGCTCTTCCCCTTGCAATCCTTACAGCCCTTGGTTGATGCAATCAGATCACACATACTTTGCCCCTGACCCACTTCCTGGGAGCAGTGGGACAGAGGCAAGATGGCTGGGAGTCCTTCACTACATGTAGGGATGAGGAACAAACGCTTTTTTGGGTGAAACTCAAAAAGGGATGTCTGGTTCCCATTAACCCTCCTAAGAAAATAATTAATTCAGGCCAGAAACAACTCTGGCAAATAAGAAAAGGACAGTAGAACTGCCCTGAGGGTCCCCTGGGGAACAAACACAAGCGTGACTCAGAAGCCACTGCATTAAGAGATTAAGAGTTGTGCTGGAGCAGACAGGGGCCTCTGGGAAGGGGAAGTCAATGCCCAGGGACACGGTTCAAGGGCCAGAATTCTGTCAGAATTTCAGACCACTAGCCTAGTTCTAGAAGTGGCTAGAAAAATAAGAAGTTCTGGATTCAACTCCAGCAGAGTGAACAGAAAAATCAAGGCTAAGGCCTTCTTAGGACCAAGGCATGCTTACATTCAAAGACCCCACACCTCGTTATCTCAGACATAGTCACAGATTTCTCCTAAATATAGTTTTATATAACTTTATAAGAAGTGAGTTGCAATTTACTGGTTAATCTACAACGTTTTGTAGACAGAGTTAAGCATTAAGTTTGAGTTTCATTTTAGAGCTTATAGTTCTTTTGTTTTGAGGGCCTCAAAAACGTATTGTTTCGGGTCTCATCTATTTTCAGAGGCCCTTGAGGAGCTCACAGGCACTAGGCAATGTGCCCCTAGTACCTGATAGATAAAGTGGCCACAGAAATCATAGCAGGGCAAGGAGAAAGAGGAGGTATGATCTGTCTTTTCAGCAGAGATGGGAGCCCCTTTGAGGTCTCCAATGGGGCTAAGCATCCCCACTGGAGCCACTCCCCACCTTCTGAGAGGAGAATCCCCATCTGGGCCCTCTCAACTCTACCCTGAAGGCTCAGGGTCAGGGGAGAGTATGCTTGGATGGTAACTCTCACGTGACTTGGGAAGCCTGGGTCTTACCTTCAGCTGGTAGAAGGTGAGTCGGCCCAGGCGATAATACACTTTGGCATAGTACAAGGCTTCCTTGGGACTCTGCAGCCAAGGTGGACAGAGGGACAGAGTCTTCAGGTAGCAGTCCTCAGCCATCTCGTACATGTGCAGGGAATAGTACACAGTAGCCAGACGGTGAAAGGCCACCAGCTCCTGCCTCTGATCTCCTAGGAAATGGAAGACTGAGACAAATATCTTGCAGCCAACACTTTGCATCATTCACTCACTCACTCATTCTGAACAATTTTTTGAGGGTCTGCTAGGTGTCAGGGACCAAGCTCGGGACACAGGGAACAAAGCAGAAGAAGTCCTTCCCTCGTAAGGCTGATGGACTCACAGGATACAGACGTTCCCTAAAGAATTCCACAACTAAAAGCGAAATGTGAAATCCCCTTTCACAAAAGCCCCTGTGATCACTAATAAAGGGAAGCCTCGTTTCAATCGGAGTCAGGATGCCAGAAGGGGGAGATCCCATGCAGGACCCCTGGAGGTCAATTACAGACCCCCACAGAAGTCTCAACGGGAAAGAATCATTAATTACTGGAAGAAAGGTACATTGCATCCCAACAGAAATCAACTACACGAGCGATTCAGCCAATGAGAAATCACCGCCGCCCTAAATTCTTGCTTTTCTCCAATGGACTTTCGTGCAAAACAACTCCTCCCAATTTCCTCCTTTTTCTCTATAAAATAATGTTCCTCTCCCTCATTTGTTGGATTTGCCTATAGATCTCTACAGCATGCATATCCCAAATTGCAATTCTTTGGCTATTCCCAAATAAACTCCTTCTGTTGGTAAAATAGCTAGCTGTTTTATTTTTAGGGTTGACACAGTTGTGGTAAGTGCTACAAAAGAAGATGCAGGGCTCTGTGAGAGTGACTAACAGGAGGATGAGTGCTGGGCAAGGTGTTCTGGGATCATTCCTAAAGAAAGCTTTCTCCATATTGCAGAGGTCACTGTAACTTGGGATTCTGGGAAATCCCTGTGATGGGACATGGTGAGAAGACTAGCTTGATGGAGTAGCCAAAAATTCCTAGAAATGAAAAACTGTAAACAAAGTATGACAACTGTCTTCCTTGCCTAAAGGTCTCTCTCCTCAGAGAGTTCTCTGGGGCTGCCATCAGCAGCAGGCACCCTCTGCTCCCTTCCCAGCTCACAGTCTCGGATAGCTACAGAGACCCAGCCACTTTTAGCCCATGCTTTAGAACCTGGGTTTCTAATGGGTCTATGGCCTGTTGTTTTGGTTTTTGGTGGGTTTGTTGTTTCAATAGCTAACTCCTTTACTAGAAAGTGGCCTTCTAAAGAGAACAAATGCTTCCAGTTTTGCTTTTGGAATATTTGCAAGGTAGCTGTTTGATGCAATCTAAAAACATCACTTGTAAGTTTCAAAGAAACAAAAGCCAAAATTAGAAGATCCAAGGGAGAGAAAATTCTCTGCTATGGAAAAATCCAGTCACAGGGAAGTGGATGAAGGGTGGACACAGCCTCATTTCAGCCTTTGCCCTGGGAAGGAGAGAGTCCACCTCCGAGGGAGTCGTCTGGGGCCCTCAAGGCCTTTCCTGAGATTAGCGCACAGTCGCTCAGATAAGGTTTTCTGCCATAAAGAAAAAGGTAGGAAAAGGAGAGGGAGTGCTCTGAAGTGCAATTAGACACAATAAAGCCCAGTACCAGCCACTTCTCATGCCACTGAGAATGCCCAGAAGTCCCTTCTAGAGCGTCACCAAAGCCTCCATTTCCCCTACATCTAATCAAGGCTCCTCTAATCAAACCTGCTTTTCCTCAAGCATCAACATTTTAGATGAGGTTTTGTGTGGGTTTTTAAAATCATTTTTCACTCTGCCTTTTTTCTGTTTTAATGTCATATTGTTTCCCACTAGCTTTTGTGACAAATGCAAGCTATTTCAGCTATGTAGTGAATTAATGGGAATCTGACATTCATTTACATTTCAATCCCCTGGAGAAAATGTGCTTTTGACTAATAATCAACCAGTTAAAAATGTAGGGCACAGTGCTTTCACGGTGGCGGGGAGGGGCATTGCCTGTCCATAGGATAAAATACCATTTGCCCTGTACTCTGGAATAATACCAACTGTAATCTAATAATTAGTGTGGCACAGGTAACACTTATCACGGACTTATGGACCAAGCGCTGCGCTGCGGGTTTGCCTGGGTAATCATTGGTCTTCCAACGGCATGAGGTGGGCGCTGTGGTTAATCCTGATTGTCCGATGACAAACGTGAGGCTTACAGACAGTAAGCAGCTTGCTTAATTAACGTCCCCCTGACTGTTGGACCCAGGGTTTGAGCCCAGGCAGTCTAACTGCACAGCCGATGCCATCACTGCCTTGTCGTCCCTTCTAGGGGGGTGTTCACCCCTTCCAGCCAACGAGCCAGACAGTTAAGACCACCTACCTGTGACTGTGCTGAGTCTGGCCGCCAGGGTGGCAAATTCTAAAGCCTTCTCATAGCCTTCCAGGCTGATCTGCAGCTCTGTCAGCTTGTTGAAAATCCGGAGCTCACTTCTCACCGCCTTCATCCTCCTTGCTAAAGGAACAGCCCCAGCCTGAGAACAGAGGCACAAAGAACCTTAGTCTAGCTCAGGATCCACACTACATACCATACTCTATGAGGCTTCCTCTCCACTGGCAGGGGCCGAGGGGATGGCAGTGATTAAAACCAAGAGGATCGAGGGGCCTGCCCCATAGCATAGTGGTTAAGTTCATTTGCTCCACCTCAGCAGCCTGGGTTCATGGATTCAATCCTGGGTGCCGACCTACACATCACTTGTCAGGCCATGCTATGTTGGCATCCCACATACAAAATAGAGGAAGATTGGCACACATGTTAGCTCAGGGACAATCTTCCTCAAGCAAAAAGACAAAGACTGGCAACAGATGTTAGCTCAGGGCCAATCTTCCTCACCAAAAAAAAAAAGAAAAGAAAAGAAAAACCAAGGGGATCTGCAGTGTTTCCCTACATGACTGCTCAATTCACTCTCCTGGCCCTTGCTCTTGGATTCTCTGCCCAGATCTTAGAGGTGGAACAACTAGAGGTCATCAGACCTCCTAAAACTGGGGAAACTGAGAGCAGGAAAGGGAAGATAACTTTTCTTAAGGTCATGTGGGGAGTTACCCCTCCCAGCTATGTGCGCCCTCAGCACCCCAGTGCTAATATATCAAGTACATATATAGAGCGTGGACATAATGTCTGAGAGTGCCCAATAAATGCTTATTTCTATTGTCTTTATTACGATAAAATTTCAGGCAGTTTCATCATTTCTCTGATCCTGGGTTTTCTCATCTATGAAACGCGTATGAAAGTGAGCACCTCAGAAGTCAGGGATGTGCTTCTTGCTCTCCCAACCCCCACCTCAGTGCCTGGCCATATTGCGTCCTTGATAAATGTCTGAAGCTGAATAAACCACTGAACAAGCAAATGAATGAATATCTGGATAAGTGAGATTTTAGGATCAAATAAGATAATGAGGTTTCCCAAACTTGAGTCAGCAATGAACAACAATTATGATATTTAACACCTGGACATTTACTTAATTAGTATTCTTTCTTAAGTCAACTCTCTTTTATTATCTTGCCTCATCTTTGCAATAATATCCATGAAATCATGGATTTGATGAGCTGGTGTTACACATTTTTAATTTTTCAAAATATATTTTAATGCATATTTAATAAATAGTAAAACAAAAGTGCTCATCCTGGGACCAGTCATCTCCCACCACATCACCAGTGGTACATGGAAATAGTCTGGTAAATGTAGAAGTGTTCTACAAATTGTAAAGTACCATGTACCCAAGAGATGTAATTATTATGGTGTTTTCTCCCAGGAAGGAGAGAATGACAGAGTTTATCAGCTCCTTCTTTAAGGGCCTGCTAGATTGAAGAGAGGGAGAGCATGTGGGCACTGGATGGGGAAGGGAAGAAAAGGAAATACCAGCAAGAGAGGGGAAGGGGGCCCCAGCCATGTGGCCCTGCTCACGTTTGTGCCAGGGCCTGGCTGGGCACGCTGCACAGCCCAGGACTTACTCGATAATACTCCACTGCGCGATGCCTGTGGCGGGTCCCGTTGAAGAACACGTCACCTGCTTCTTCATAGAGTTTGAGAGCCAGGGAGGGCTCCTCTGACTTCAGGGCTTTCTGGATGGCTGCCTGAGTGGGACAGAGATGGCTGTCAAAGGCGGAGAGAAGGACTTCCAAACGTCCACAGGACAGGCGGCAGTGAGATCTGACCACCTAGCTCAAACCTCTGCTTAAGTGACCCCGAATCCTGAATTGTCCTCCACTCTCGGAGGGCTGGTAGGAAGACTTCGAGATTCTATAGTCCTGCATTTCCCCATCGTGGTGTGAAAGATTACTTTGGGGGCCTTAGAAATGATTTTTAACAGTACACAGACAAACGTTTATGTTTTAATAGTTAAGTATTTATTTTAAGGTGTTTAGGGAAAATGATTAATAATACATGAAAACCTGTGATTTCAGATAGCACGTTTAGTGTAAAAAGCTAAGTTGACATGAAGTTGACTCAAAAAAAAAGAAGCAAATAACAGTACAGAAGGCACACGAATATGGCAAAACCATGAACTTGATGTGTAAACAACTGAAGTTTGGCAACCAGTGATGTCATCCAACACCTACACTTTGCAGATGCAGACACCAAGGCTCAGGAAGAATAAGGAACGTCTCCAAGATTGCATCAGTAGTTAGGAGCAAACAAATGTTAGTCTGCCAGCCTGACACCCTTCTCCTGGCCCCAGTGACCTCTTTTTCTCAAGCCAGCTGTTTCATATTGCATCTCAACAAAATGTGATGAGGAAGTTGAGGAGGGGAGAATGTCCCACAGCATCTGCAGCACAGCTACAGGACCTAAGGTAGAAGCCTTAGGTAGAGAATGATGCACTTCAGCCACAACGACCCTGCAAAATATCAAGTTAGGTGGCAGTGTGGGGTTGGGTAGGCCTGGGACCAATTCCAGCCAATGAAATGCTGGGTGAGTCCCCTCAGTTATTATCCATATGCAGCTACCCAGAGAGAGGCAGAGAGATGGCATCCTGCAGTCAGGAGGCTCTCCCACCAAGCAACGAACAGCCCAAACATCTCCCTCTGGGCCTCCATCTCTTGGAGAGTGAGAATCAAGACTGAATTCTCTACTCTCTGAAAACGCTTTCAGTTCTAAAATCCTAAGTCAGAGCAAAGGCTGAGAGTGAGGGCTCTAAGTCAAGCTGCTAGTGTGCAATTTTCACCACTTACTGGCTGTGTCACTTTGAGCAAGTCACTCGGCCTCATTGGGCCTCATCTGGAAAATGGGAATTTCAATAGACATTCCTGCCATGTTTGTAATGAGGATTACACTACATCACGCATGTGATGTGTTTAACAAAGTCTCCTGTGCATACGAAGTATGCAATCAAAGTACACAACCATTAGTAAGTCTCTTTAGAAGTGAGTTCGTAAATTTAAGTAATAGAATAAGGAGAGTAAAAAGGGAGAAAATAAGAAATGGGAAGGAAGAAAAGATAATGGACATATTTTAGATGAAACAAATCTTATATGCCGTGATAATATCAGTACGTGCTAAGTCCTAAGCATTTGTAAATGCTTACTATGCAAATGTATTTACTATGCAAGTGATATACCTAAATCCTTACCCTAAGAAATAGGGTTCATCCATGAAGAAACTGAGGCCCGGAGGGCTCATAGAGCAGGCCCAAGGTCACACAGTCCATAATCGATGGCTCTGTGATTTGATTCCAGGCCTGTCTCTCTTCAAAGCCCAGGCCTTTAATCAATACACTCTGCCATATCTCAGACATTAAAGGTATGCAAACAAAAAAATCATAAGAGAACAATAATGTCAACACCCTGCATGCATCAACCTCACCTCTAGTTGCAGCAAAACCCTGAAGTTAAGGTGTGTGTCAAGCTTTGGAAAGATGAATATAGCTGACGTGCCAGGTGAGTGAGTCTCCCACCATGGTCTTTGAGAGCTCACAGGTGTACAGTATATGGGTCTCAGGGACTGCCCTTTGCCACCTGTATTCAGCCTGCCAGATCGCCCTGATTTCCATCTTGTGTCCAGGCAGCAGCCCATGTTGACCCTCCCTCCAAGGACTTGGCAAGGACATCTCCTTTCTCTAGTGCCAGCTGGTCAGTTTGGAGGGTACAGCTGCCTCTCCAAATGGCCCAGGTGAGCAGAGGAGCTTGCGGAAGGCCTACCTGCAGGTACAGCTCCACCAGCTCATCTTCCTGCATGAGGTAGTGAAGTCGCCCAGCCCCGAGCCAGGCCTCGGCCGCCTTGTCTCTCTCCTCCAGGTCAATGAAGATACGCAGGCTTTCCTTGATGCAGGTGAGGGACCTCCTGAGGGACCTGGGAGGTGGAGATGGACTCATTAGGTGTGAGGGCTCAAAGGGGGCTCGGAGTCACTCAGCATGCGAGGAAACCAAGGCCCTGGGAGGAAACAACGTTGTTTCAGATCACACAGGGAGGTCAGGCCTGATTTGAATCCCGGCTGTGCCTCAACCAGCTGTGTCACCTTGAGAAAGTACAGAACTTCTCTGTGCCTTGGTTTCCCCATCTGTAAATGGGGATATAATTATACCTGCCTTGGAGGGTTGTTGTGACGATTAAATGAGATAAAACTAGAGTGCTCAGAACAGTGCCTACCACAGAGTAAGCACTCAGTGAATGTTTAGATGTTAATTATCATTATTATTATTATTATTACTGGTCCATCCATCTTTCAACAGTATAACATTGTTTTTTGTAAGCACCTAACACACCGTAGATGCCAAATGCACAGTCTATTGAATAAATGCACAAACGAATGATCACAGTGGTGACTTTAAATCATCCAAAAGATTTTGATGTTTGTTTAAGAAGAAAAATCAAAGAAGGGCAACAGCTTTAAAAGGTTGGTGCTTAACAGAGTAATCTTTATTTATCTGGAAAATTATCTTAGATAGAAAACTTCCCCCATGACAGGGATCAATGAAGAAATGAGGTATAGGCAGCGTAGTGTGGCACAGATTCATAATTCTAGAACAACAAGGGGCACTGGGCATTATCTAGAGAGTAGTTCTCAACTCCGGCAGCGATTGGAATCGCTCAGAAGCTTTTTAAACACACAGGCACAGGCAAACTCCCCCCAGTGTGTTGACACGCCATGCTAGCCTGGGACGCTCTGGGAGTGTGGCTCAGGCACCAGCATCTTATAAAGCTCCCCAACAGGGACTCTGTTGTGCAGCTTGGGTCGAGACTTGCTCACCTAGTCCAACCCCCTTATTTTACAGAGGAAACAGGCCCAGAGATGGGAAGTGACTTGTGCAAGGTTACACAGCACATTAGGGAAAGATCCAAGGCCGGAACTCCCTTCTCCTGAGTCCCAGCCCAGGACTTGTCGCAAAACACCCACATCCCTCAAAGCGTGATTTATAGCCCACCTGCATCAGCATTACCTGGGGAGCTTATTAAAAACACAGACTCCCAGAGCTACCTCAGACTGACTCGATCAGAATCCTCATGGTTGCAAGCCAGGAACCTGAATTTCTGAGACGCACCCAGCTTATGCTCACGCACACCGAAGCTGAAGAACCACTGCACCGAATCACCCAAATCCTTCTAGAAAAACTGGTCGTCATCAACCAAGCCTGTGGACAGTTAGGAGGTCCTCATCAAACATGGTTATCATCTCATCGTGTGCAACCCAGCCCCAGGCCCCCTGGTGCACAGTGATGGAAAGAAGCGTTGCCTTTGACTAATGAGGTCCTGATTTGTCTTGGTGATGAGGCAGCTGTTGGCCTTCTGGAGAATGTGCCAGGCATTTGGCGCTTGTCAGTACTGAGAAGAAAGACCTCAGGTTTTCCTCACTGCCCTGTTCTTCACATGGGATTTGTCGACATGCAGGGTGGGCTCTGACCACCCTCTCTCCAGTATTAGAATGTGAGATTGCTGCTGAGACTGTGCTGTGAGCTCAGGAGCCACGCGCAATGCTGAGGTGTCACCAGCCTCCTGGCTGAGCTGGGGCAACCACAGCCCTCTTACTATAAGAAGCCCTGTCCTTCTCCTGCCCGCTCCACACCCACAAACGTCACGCAGAGTTAACATGTTCTACAGGCCTGGCCTCCACTGCCCTCCCCACTCCCTCTGGAGCAGCTGATGAAGACAGGACCCACACATCTCATCCTGATCCTTTCTCCAGCTGTTTTGTTTATTACCATATGCTGTCCTGGGAGACCCTTAGGCTATGGTTGTTTTCTTCAGACCCCCAGGGAGCAAGATTTGCATTATTACAGAGAGGCCAACTCACAAAGCAGGCATTTACTTCTCAGACCTTTTCTCTCCAAGCTCACTATGACTGTGGACAGGACGAGAGGACATCAGTTTTTCTCTCCAGGAAACATCCCACAGGGGAAGGGAGGATGTACGGAGGCCAGCTACTCACACAGCGCTATCAAGACTCCTGGTGCATGCAGGGTTTTCGAAAGACCGCAGCCTCCCACCAAGACTTACCCCTGACCCATAACCTCCAGCAAAAACAAGTGCCTTATGGTCTGAAATTGGGAGGGGGTCTCCTGCTTCCTCTGTTCTTTTCTATCACAACTCACCACCCCATTTTTCTACATCTGCCAGTAGCTGTGCTATATCACCCACCAGATGAGCCACTGGCTTGGTCTGGAAGGTCCCAGCATCCCAGTTCCTCTAGCCACCACCTGTAGGCTCTAGGTGTGGCTCAGCTCCCAAATCAAAAGAAGTAAGGAGCCCAGCGGATGGAACAGCATCATTTCAGCCTTGATCCCAAGTGTCCCAAGCCCCAAGGCACTCCTGGGCCCCCTACACCTGGACCCTGCCAGGCTATCTCCTCTCCTCTCTCAAGTCTTTTCTTTCTCTCATTTTTCCTGCCCCCAGAGTTCAATCTGTGCAGCTGAGTCCTTTTTTCTTGCTTCCTGCCTGGACATCAGCCACGAGCCTGTGGCCAGGTGACCTCGATACACCTACATTCCCAGACTTCCTGCTTCCCAACCTTGCTGGGGCTTTCCAGATCCCCACCCTGCCTGGATGAATGTCTGACCTCTGGCCAGAGCCCCACCTCCGCTAATTGCTCCTGTCCTGTTTCCATAATAAGAACTGCCACTCACCAAGGGCCTACCCTGTGCCAAGTGTTGGGACACAAATTTTCAGTATACATTTTCTCATTTAATCCTCATAGAAACCCTAAGCTTACAAGAGTTCTTAGCCCATTTTGCAAATAAAGAAACCCAGTGGGTTTTTTTAAAAACTTGTCCAAGTTTGCACTGGTCATTTCTAAGGATTTATTTTGAGATCTCTGCTATTTTGTCTTGTAATAACAGCAATGACAGTAATTGTCACTGACATTTACTGAGCGCTTAGCATGTGCTGGTGGCTTTACATTTGTAATCTCATTTAATCATCACAATAGCACTAAGAGAGCAGTACTATTGTATTCATGTCATAAATGGAAAAAATAAGGCTCAGAAAGGGTAAGTGACGTGGACCAGGTAATATACCCTGTTTAGACCAGGATCTAATCCTGAGGATCTAATCTGACTCCAGAGCCCCCCCACACACTCTGAAGCAGTGCTCAGTCCCTGGCTCAGAAGTCAGCACATGGGAAAGGTTTTGCTTCTTTGACCACTTGAGCAACCTGGAAATTTCAAAGGACATTAGCCACTTCGAACCTTGAACACAGTTTCCTCATCTATGAAAGTGGAGTAGTGATATACATCATAGCCTTGGGATCAGATGAGAACATGTCAGCGCAAGAAATTCTTTCCTTGTTTAGGATTACAGAAATGTTAGGGATTAGTCATATTAGTTATATTGAAAACCAAACATTGAAGCATTTTTTTTCGGTTCCACAGGAATAGGAAGTATAAGGATAAGAATAAAAGCCATGAGTAATGACTTCTAGGCTACTGTTGTATTTACATGCAAAGAATCATTATTTTGTGAAGACCTACTGCACGCAAGGCCTTTCTTTTTTCTAAAAATAATATGCATACGCTTAGTGGCACTTCGCACAATTGATATGTACCTTTGGTGATTATGTATATAATGTCTATTTCCTAAACTAGTCTATGAGCATTGCGAACTCAGGGACTATATCTCCTTTGTTCAGCTTTTAGCACAGTGCCTGAGCCACAAGAAATCCTCAGTGTATGTTGAATTGATTCAGTAGAGCCACAAAGTTCTCCTGAATGCCACCTGACTCAGCTCCAGAGCAAGGTACCATCTATATTGAGTCACCTGGAGACAGAAGACAAGACCTTCAAAGACCCCTCCCATTGAGAGATTGAAACTCTTTATCAAACTAGGTTCTATCATTGTCACCTGGAGGCAGAGAGAGCAAGACTCTGAAGGTATTGGACAAAAGGACAGCAAAGTGTCCCAAGGCAAAAACCCAAAGGCTGGGCCAAAGTTTTCATCATCTCCTTGCCCTCCCCTTCCATCCCCCACCTCTAAACCCTAGAGAAAGTCTTTCAAATAGGAGGAATTAAAATGAGTAGAAAGGCAGCATGGGTAGTGAAAGCCACCATAAATTGAGGGTTCGGGGATCTCAGCTAATACCAGTAAAACCAACTGGTGTCAGGAGTCTGCACTCTTTATAGCAGGCAGCGATCAGATCAAACAAAAAATGAGGCCACTCTCATCCATACAGTCCCAAGGAGTTTCATGATGTAGACATCCACATCTATTCTTTAGAGTGAAAATTATTGACTGAACAGGCAGAATACATACAGAATATCCACTCTAGACCAGGGGTTGGCAAACTCTGGCCCGTGAGTCAAATGCAGACTTCCACCTGCTATCGTAAGTAAAGTCTTATTGGAACACAGCCACACTCATCCATTTATGTATTGTCTATGACTGTTTGCATGCTACATCTATAGAGTGGAGTGGGTGTGACATAGACCATATGGCCCACAAGGCCTAAAACATTTACTATCTGACCTTTTATTAAAAAGTTTGCTGACTCCTGTTCTAGACTCCGACTGGGCATCAATCCCTGCTGTGTGGCTCCATGCACGTTACCTGGCTTCCTTAGCTCTCAGTTTCTACAGGTCTTTCTACCTCCTATGGCCATCCTAAGATTACACCTTGCTTGGTAAACAGTGCATGCTCACTGAATGCCTGCTGTTACTATTATGACCACCATTTCACTATAGACGCTCACTGTGCAAGTCTAGAGTGACCTGCACAACCCCCTACCCCCAGTCAACCTCCACATCCCCTCCCAGGTGACAGGCTGGAGTCCTCTCTCTCCTTTAGTACCCATATCCGGATGAACATCAGACCCTGTCTGTTGAACCTACAGAATGTCTTTCAAATGTGCCCCTACCTCTCCGTTG